ATGGACCGACAGGTAAAGAAGCTAAGGAGTAAAGAGGTACCGATGGTGAAGGTACTTTGGAAGAGTGATCGTGTCGAGGAGCAAACTTGGGAAGTGGAGACCCTGATGAGGGAACAGTATCCATTTCTGTTTGACTAGACACGTGGATTTCGGGGACGAAATCCCAAATAAGGGGGGTAGAACTTGTAACACCGCCCCCAAGTATTTGTACTTTATCAAATTATGTATTGAACCCAAGAAATGAATAAACGCATTTTTCGTGATTGTGAATTTTTATCATTTCTTTTACGTGAATAGTAAAATTCACGTGGGGCCCACACCGGAAGCGGGGGCCGCCCGATATTATCGGGACCACATATTATATTCGCTTGGGTCAAGATAATATGTGCATAATGGTGGATAGCCTGGTTGGGCCATAGAAGTTATGTGAGTAACCTTTTGGGCATATAAAGCCCATTTATCGGTACAGAAGAAATATCAGATGAAAAGCCATAATAAATTATGGGAACCATTAAACTAAAGTTGGGGAATATACATTCATTCTAATAGCCAATAATAATTGGAAGAATGATAAATATTTCATTTGACCCGATAAAATGAAATATAGTTAAAACAGTCCGGAAAATACAACTTTCGGGACCGAGTGTACACTCGGGGACACAAAGGGATGACCACCCATCTAAGTGGGGGCCATCCCCACGTTTTTTAGTCTTGCAAATGGCAAGAGAATTCGCACATAGGGCTGGTGAGTTGAACTTGAGGTGATTGGGAGGCAAGATGAGAAGGAAAATGGGACCCTCTTCCTATATTATTGCTAATAAGCCAAAAAGGAAATTTCCATCACCCCTACACCTCACCCACTCGACCAAGCCACCACCCAAGGAGTAGGAAGCTCTGCAAAAACTCCATTTTCATCCACCATTCACGCACAAAGCAAGGGGAGGAAGAAGGAAGGAAAAAGAAGAAGAGAAAGGAGGGAATTAGGAGGAAAACTTGTGGTTAACAAGGTAACGACTTCATTAATCCCATCTATTCACTTTAATCATACTTCATACTCCTAGGATAGTGCTACACTTGTAAAAGTGTAGAATGGGGGTTGAAAGGTTGGTTTATACCCAAAACGAGCTTTGAGAGCAAAGTTGACGGGTTCACCGGAAAATAACATTTTGGAGGTTATTTGTATTGATATGGGTTTTATGATGATAAAACCTTGTTATTAACTCGTATAAGGTATTCCAAGAACTTTCACGGGGTCGAAAAGGTCGCCGGAGTTGTCGCCGGAGTTAGTTGAAGTTCACCGGAGTTTCACCGGAGCTCAATAAGGAAGGCTAGAACTTCATAAGCTTCTTTTAAGGTGAGAAGACGGCTATATGCTTTGTAACTTTTGCGTTAGGCATAAGATTACCTAAATTAATCAATAATATGTTTTATGAATTGATTAATGGTATTAAAGCATGTGTTATGACTTATAGAAGAACATAACATATTGAAAAGCATGTTAAACAAGTTTGATTAATGAAAATATTATAAATTAGTGTACATGATGTTCCAAGGACTTAAAATGGTATTTTTGGGTTAAGGAAGTCTAGAGGTACACGCATGTCAAATTTCACGTTAATCGGACTTCGTTTGGGCGGCCAAACGGGCGTTGAACGCCAAGTCAACTCCCATACTCGACCGAGTATTGGTATATACTCGACCGAGTATGGCCAGAAAGTGCTATTCTGGAGTTTCTGCCTCCCATACTCGATCGAGTATGGGTGTATACTCGACCGAGTATGGGCTGGAAGTGTATATTTGGACCTACTGGCTCCCATACTCGACCGAGTATGGGTGGGTACCCGATAGGGTATTGATATTATGCCAAAACGGGCAGTTTTGAGCAGGTTAACGTGGGCCGTTCAAGTGGGACCCGCCCACGTTGGTTACTAGTGATTATTATACAACTATAGGACTAGGTATTGTCCATAGTTAAGTGAAAGAAAGTTTAGCCATATCCAGGTTAGGGTTTGGTGAGGAATTAGACTGAGGTTGAGTATCCTCGGGACGTAATCGATCCTAAAACTCGGTTGAGGTTGAGTATCCTCGGGACGTAATCGATCCTAAAACTCGGTTGAGGTTGAGTATCCTCGGGACGGGCGTGATCCTAAAACTCGGTTGAGGTTGAGTATCCTCGGGACGGGCGTGATCCTAAAACTCGGTTGAGGTTGAGTATCCTCGGGACGGGCGTGATCCTAAAACTCGGTTGAGGTTGAGTATCCTCGGGACGGGCGTGATCCTGAAACTCGGTTGAGGTTGAGTATCCTCGGGACAGTAAATGATCCTGAAACTCGGTAGGATATTAGTAAGATAGAATGTAGCTATTGAGCTAGGCATTCGGGAATAGATGGGAAAGGTCGGGTGAGTACCTTATCTCTAAAAAGACTCTTTCAAAGAAAAGGACCTACAGGTCAAGTATTTTACAAGTATATACAGTATGTATTATCTTGGGAATGGGGTAACTACGGTTATGCCTATAAATATATGTATCATCCTATTTTTGGGTCTTGTGTTTGAAATATTAGTTACTCTTCATCTAGCCTGCTTGTCACTAGTACTTCTATGGAGTACTGACCCCTTCGGGGGCCCTCACATTTTTCAGGTTGAGGCTAGAGTCCTACTCCTGCACCTTTGCCCAGGGTGATCATCGAATAAGGAAGACGTGGTTCGTGCTTCCCCTCTTACTTGAAACAATGTAACTGCTCATGGATATTTATACAATGTTTTCTATTAAACTATTTGGGGGCCTGCGTGCCTATGTTTGCCACGTGTGGCTAAACTTCAAACATATTTTATTTCCGCATTTGTTTGAGTTATATTGATGTTGATTGTATGAGTTTACTAATCGGTTTGGCAATAGAATCTACCGGACGCCTTGTATGATCTAATAAGATTGAACTACGTTGTTCTTATTGGGTTGTACGGCGGTTGTCTACGTGGCACGGACGCGGTCCGGGGCGTGACACGAGAGGCCGATCGTGGTATAATGGTGTCGGCAATGAGCGGCCGATCTGAGAAAAACAGGCAACGGTCCTCGTCCGCGAGGGCGGGGACGAGGCCGGTCTTCAAATATGATAATCACGCCATGCCGAGAGGCCGGTCGTGATATGACGATATCGGCAATGAGAGGCCGATCTGAGAAAACAAGCAACGGTCCTTATCCGCGCAGTGCGGGGACGAGGCCGGTCTTCAAATATGAACACGCCGAGCCGAGGGGCCGGTCGTGGTATGATAATGTCGGACGGCCCTCGGCCGTGACGATCTCTTCTAGGCCCTCGGCCTCTGAATGACGGGTGATCGTCTCACGGTTCTCTGTCATGGCATTCGCCTCTAGATCCTCGGCCTCTAGGTGTTCTTCCTAGGCCATCGGTCTCTGGGGTGGAGATGCTCGTCCTACGGTTCTCAACCGTGGTGGTCTCCTCTAGGCCCTCGGCCTCTAGGTGGAGATGCTCGTCTCACGGTCCTCAGCCGTGATGGTCTCCTCTTTAGCTGGCCCTGAACGTCTTCAAGATTCGGGCCGAGCGTCTTTTAATCATTTCGCTCGAGCGCGTCGAGTGGCTTCATCAATTTAGAGTATGGGTACTTAGCTTCAAAGGGTGGGGACGTTCGGCCAGGAGGCTCATGAAGTCAGGCCTGCTCCCCTTTCGTAATTTTGACTTAGTCCACTAAAGCAATCAGCTGGTCCCACATCCTTGACCAGGGGGCAAGGGTTTCGGCCTAGGCTTGGAATTTCTTGACTTGGTTTGGTCAAAATTCTCCCAGACATTTGGCCCTTTATCCTTTGGCTCTAATCTTGGAGACGTGGTCTGCTCTCAGCCAAGTGAGGAGCATCTTGTGGAGAGGCACACAAAAACATCCCACCGAGGTCAATCAGTGCAGGTCGGATGCTGGCTGGTGGCGACGAAAGCTACAGCAGGGCGAGGGAGGCTAGAAAAGCTAGCCCACGGTGGAGACCGGCCGAGCTCCGAAGCATACCCTTCTTGAGCTCCCAGCAGCCATCCACGGCAGAGCCCGGGGAAGCCTCAGCTTAAAAAACCCCGTCGCGTTACCAGAGGTTGGGGGCTGAGCAGCGGCATGCAGCCGGCGATGCAAGACGGTGCTGCGTTCCAGTCGGAGGACCCAGCTACGTCCGATGAACAGTGCTGCTACGGCGGAGCTCTCTTAGGACCGAGATGACGAGACCAGGTCCAGGGATGCTGCAGCATGTCTTCGTCTGGTGTAGATGAACTCACCGGAGGGTCCACCGCAGCGGGAAAGGTGGCGACGGCTCCGGCAACCCCCAATCCGGATCTGGAAAAATCCAAATGTAGACCTCCATACTGCGTAGCTCCCTTACTTCCCAGAAGCATATTTCCTTCGTTTTTCTTCCTGCTTTCTCCAGAATCATTTCTTTTTTATGGAATCAGTATGTTTCGTATGAATTTTGTGTAGAACACATGAATCTTTTTGGACAGATTCCCACAGACGGCGCCAGTGTTGAGTTTAATCCCACACGATATAGTAAATATATGTATGAACACTCAGTTTTTACGTGGAAACCCGAAAGGGAGAAAACCACGGGACTTTTTAGGCTAATGTCCAAGCCCTCTCTTTCTCATTAGGACTCTCCTCACCATTACATAGTACATTTTGAGCTCCCATTCATGGAGTCTTGTAAGCTATTCTAGAAGAGGAAAGAAGAAGGAAGGGATCCTTTACATGGAGGGAAAACCTCCTATAAATAGGGGAAGGGGAGAAGGGGCTCTCCACCCTAATGGGCCAAACGGGCCGATGTCGGGCCTAATGGCCAAAGTGGGCCAGAATGGGCCGAAATGGACCTAGCTGTTCGGGCTCCGTACTGGATAATGTCTTGGGCTCCTGAACAGTAATAGGCCGGGATAATATATCCCAACAGTAAATATTTAGCGACGGTACCTGGCCTCTCAAACAAAAACAGAGACGGATATATCAGCTGGTAATTAAACTAAAACAATATCTGAGACGGATTTGTCCGTCGGTCATTAATTTTTTTTAAAAAAAATGGGAAGCCCATATTTTTTAGCTCGTTTAAGCATTTAGAACCCACGACGCTTAACCATATCCGTGTATTGAGAAACCCTGGCCGCCGCTTAACAGATCTCAGAGCTCATGGCCGCCGCTTAACAGATCAAAACGGTGGACAACCTGCAGCGTATCTATCTCAGCGCCGTAAATCGCCACTCCAGGTTCGACACTCCAGGTTCGCCACTCTAAGTCTCCACTCTAGGTCGCCAATCTGCATATTACTTTGCAAATTTTCTAGAATCCATTATAATATAGCTTTGACTTCAACGAGATGAAAGCAAATAGCCGGTGAAATTCAATTCGCACATTCACATTCGAGTCCTTTACTTTACCTGCTACTAAAGTGAAAGTAGAATATATGTAATTAACTAATTCACTTAAAATACAATTGTGAAAACAAGTCGAAGGTCAACTATTTTAATTCAAAGTTAAAAATTGAGACAGATTTACAAATCTGATGAATCACATTCCCTAACATTTAAAGCAAAGGTACATTTGAGGATGCTTAAGAAACGAATGGTACACAACCACCATATCCGCTTTCTAATTGTAGTGGTTATATTCTAATAATACATGTTTTGTAATTTTAATTTGTTTTCTATTGTTCTACATGTTAATTATTTTAACAAATTTTGTGTGGAAGGAAGACTTTTAATGGTGTTATATACAAAACTTTTAACAAAGTGGTCACTGAAAAGTAATGTTTGATATTGTGATAGTACTAGTTATTCAGTTTCTGCTCAGTTGGAACAATTGTGACATGCAACAGAATGGGTATAGATGTGTACCTAGATGTGTACGTAGTATTGAAATTGTGTAGTGACTTCAATAAATTAATATAGTGAAGTCAAAAATACATATTATTTTTTAGTTTTTTTTTGTTGGAGATTAGCTACGTACCATCACTTTTATAAGATCTCAAAAGGCGTTACTAATTGTTTGTTTGAATATACATAGTGATGATTGTTTCACCATCAAAGTAAGTAATTGATTGTGTATATAAAATGCATGCAAGTAGATGATATCAAATTAATATGTATGTAATTAAAAGGGATAGATGTTATAAAGATAACAAAGGATCAAGGCAGTGACTCAAGTAATATAGGGTGCACCAGATGTTATTGCTGCCCTCTCTAATTTCAGTATATTGTATTTTGTATATTGTATTTTGAACGTCCAAAGGAGGAAAAATTGGGGAGGACCCCCGACGCGGAAGAGATCTTGAATGATGGATATACTAACAAGAAAACTGGAAAATTGAGTGGTCCAAGAGTTCAAGAGATAGTGGTACGTGTTAAGTAAATGTTGTTGTGCATTAAAAGTTAATTTTAGACATTTTACTGTCAATAAAGATTTTATTAACTTAACTTGTCCAAATAATATAAAATAGGGATAAGGGTCAGATAGGGCCTCGAACTCGAAAAAAAATGTCAAATAAGGTCATATTTCGGATGCTCTGTCTGGCCGACGCCATTTGGGGCGGTTCCCGATGGAATTTTTTGATGAAATTTTTTTAGCATCTTCCTCATTAAGTCTAGTTTACCCATACCAAATTTCAGCTAAAAATTCAACCGGGAAGGTAGTCAAATAATTTTCCGAAATGTACGGCGTTGTTTAACTTCACAGTTATCTTCAAAAATTCATTTGACTACCTTCCCGGTTGAGTTTTTAGCTGAAATTTGGTATGGGTAAACTAGACTTAATGAGGAAGATGGTCAAAAAATTTCATCAAAAAATTCCATCGGGAACCGCCCCAAATGGCGTCGGCCAGACAGAGCATCCGAAATATGACCTTATTTGACATTTTTTTCGAGTTCGAGGCCCTATCTGACCCTTATCCCTATAAAATATAAACAGGATAAGCTCAAAGTTGCGAAGGAGGCTGTTTTGGCAACTCAAGGGGAGAACGCAAAAGTGGATAAAACGGCCCTCTATATAAAAACTGTTCCACCCAACCGTGGAAGAATTCTAGGCTTGGGGGCTCTTGGCCCCGAATATTTGCGTACCGGCTCTTTGAAATCCACACATTGTGCCTCCGCACAAAGTGACCCCGATAGTGAATCTATTAAGGAGGAGATGAAGGCCTTGAGGAAAGAAGTGAAGGAGTTAAGAGAACTAGCGGCCATGCAAGCAAATATGGGTCCATGGATGAATCCGTTTCTCTATCATGGGTATGGTCAATCTACTTCCGGTACTCAACCACAAATGCCTCCCATGTTTCCTCAACAAAATACATCTTTTTTTCCTCCCCAAAATCACTATGCTTTTCCCCAAAATGGTTCATCCGGTCCTCAACAAAATACATTCAATTTCTCTCAACAAGTTCCAACAATGGTCCCTAGCGCTTTTGGAGGTACCCCACAAGTTTCTTCTCAACCTCCGGCCTACTACCCGACGATGTTTCCGGGTTTTAATAATGTGCAAGGTCCACCATCCATGCAACCTACAACACAACCATTTCAATTCATGCCTATATCAACTCCAACCAACATGACTCAAGATGAAAATGCCAATTTTATTGACAATTTGTTGGCGAGTGGAGGCAGCAACAACAATACTAATCAAGAGAAAGAATGAAATGTTGTAATAGTTAGTTATTAAAAACAACTTATTTCTATTCCTATGTTGAACATTTGTATTTTGTGCTATGTTTAACACTGCTCCAAGTGTAAGGATTGTATGTGACGGATGGTTTTATTATTATTTGAATTATTGTTGCATTTCGCTTTTAATTAAATGAATGTGTGGCTTTAAGTATTTGTGAAAATGAAATAGGTGTAATTGGGATTGTGAATTGGGTTTTGAATTGAAAAGCAGGATTAAATAATCGCTTAGCCGAGCATTTTTTTATTGAATGGTCAATTAGCGACGGATAAAACCGTTTGTAAGATGCATTTATGGTTTGGACAACTGCGCAGCGTAGTGACGGCAAAAACCGTCGCTGATTGCAACGGATAAAAGCGTCACAAAATCCGTCGCTAAATAAAAAAAACCGTCGAAGCAAACCGTAAGTAAAATTTCCGACCAGCGTATCCCCACGGATATTTCCCGTCGCAAATCCGTCCCTATTTTTTTAGAGACGGTTTTTTCTTGGTTTCCCGTTTGTAAAACCGTAACTAATCAAGTGTTTTTTTGTAGTGTAACACAAAAGAATTACAATAGGAGGTTAAGTCCAAATCCCAAGCCGCTAGATAGTGGTGTATTTTAGTTTTTCAACGTTTTGTTCTTCCTTAATATTTGCTCGACTTCCCATTTCCCACACCGAAACAAGAAGAAAGTTCCACCTTCCATCCCTCTATATAAAGTCATCTTCATTTCACTCCAAGCGAAAATACGCTCCCACAACGCACCACCCAAAGACCCAAAAACTTGAGAATTACTATAATAATGGGCCGCCAGGATGGGTACCCTGTACCCAGTAGTTAAATATTTTGGAACAGGGCTGGATCTTAAATAATCATTTTGGAACCGAAATGTGAAAATCCGATCCGGATTGCAATTCCAAGATCCGTCTTCCACCCTAACCCGTATAGTATTTATCTAATTTAAAGGCAAATTATACCGTATGCCCGATCAAATACCATCATAAGATACCATCATTCCCATTTATTCCTATTTCTGTCTCCTTCCCCAACGGTATACCATCATTCCCATTTATTCCTATTTATGTCTCCTTCCCCAACGGTGCTCTACGATTTCTTTCATCTGCGATCCGCCATAAGATACTTGAATTTAAGAGCTGCGATCTGCCACGTAATTAATAAAATAGGTCTACTCATGATTAAGAATTTAAGATAGTGTGTTTGATCCCATCAGCAAAGCAGGAGAGGAAAGCATGATTTCCGAACGTTCCAGCCTTTGTCAATTTGGATTGTTTGAATTACTTTTGACATACATTGGAATTACATTTCGGTTTGGCAAAAGTTACATTTTGTAACTCATGATTCACATTTCAATTTTCCTCAATAAGTTACATCTTGTTTACATGTGATTTACATTTTAATGTACGTGACTTACATTTTAATGTACACGAGTTACATAAAAAAACTATGCAAGTTACACAACAAAATAAATCTCTGTTTTTCAATCAAACAAAACATATGCACTATTTATGTAAAATAATTGGACAATTAAACTCCTTTTTTTCATTAAACATGAATTACTTTTCAGCGCACAAGTTACATATGTTGTTAACTGAAGTTACATTTGTTAGCAACACGAGTTATATCTAATTATGCACAAGTTACATCATTCATGCTACTTGGATGAATATATATATATATATATATATATATATATAGTATATATATATATATACATATATATATATTGTACGCGCGTGTAATGTTCACGCGAATTTTTTTTTTTAATTTGATCAAAACTACGTCGTTTTGGGGGTGTGGAGCGTGGTGCTCATCAAGCTCCGGTTGCACGGTATAGGGACTGAATTTACAAATTAAAGTCAATTGGATTAGTAATAACATTATATCCGTGATAAAAGAAAAAAAAGAACAATATTATACCGAAAACCTAGGACTCCTCGATCATATGAGCTGCCTAAATAGGTCGGCGAGTGAACAAGGTAACCGAAGCGAAAGAGTAACGGTCCATTTTAATTTGTGTGTTCTTCACTGTTTTCAAATTCTCCCCGGTTCCAAAACTGATTGGGATTGAAATACGTAAATTAAGTTCCTGTTTATTAGATTGGGCTTGCTAATTGTACGCTTATTGTAAATGTGGGCTAAGGGCTCAATTTGTATAGCATATTAGTGTATAAATATAGGAGGTCTCGGTCATGGTAAAAGGGGGAGGAAGATTCACCGATTAATAAAACTAAAACTATTTTCTTCCTAAATCTAAGATGGTATCAGAGCAGGCATAAGAGGAGTGCGGCTTCATCGTTCATCTCTGCAAACTGCACCAGCGTGCGAAGGAAAGCAGGGAAGCAACATGACTGACCCGACCTCTGTTTTTTACTTGGGATCAGGTGATCAACCTGGTAACCAGATCACTCACGTTATTTTTAAAGGGGACAACTTTGCGGCATGGTCTCGGGCTGTGGCGTTGGCTCTCAAGGCTCGCCGGAAATACGTCTTCATCGATGGAACTCAGAAAAAAACGACCGACGAAGCACAGCGGTCCAATTGGGAGACGGTGAATTCAATGGTCGTCCCATGGCTGCTGCGCGTGATGGAACCGGCGCTCGCTGCCTCGATCCCGTTCCACGACGAGGCACGCGCGCTGTGGTTGTACCTTGAAAACCGGTTCAGCGTCGCCAACGGACCACGGCTTCAGCAGCTCCGGTCCGCCATCACAAGCTGCCGGATGACGAAGGGTATGACAGTGGACGGATATTACACAACCTTGATGAGCTACTACGACGAATTGAACCGATTAAAGCCTTTACACTCGTGTTCCTGCGGACTTTGTACCTGCGGACTCGCAGCAAAATTGGCGGCAGATCGGGATGAAGAAAAACTACATCAGTTCTTAATTGGAATTGATGACGAGATATATGGGACTGTGCGTTCCAACCTGTTGTCACACACTCCGCTGCCGGACTTGAACAGGGCTTACCAAGCCTTCATTCAAGAAGAAAATTCACGGGCAGCAGCTCGTGGTAAAACTGCTGATATTCATGACGCCCAAGCTTTTGCTCTTCAAGTTGATAGGCCAGCCAAAGGGAAGACCGAGAAGGTTGATAAAACCAAGTTGCAGTGTACACACTGCAAGAAGAAAGGGCATGAGGTTGGGTCCTGCTTCAAGCTATTAGGCTATCCCGAATGGTGGGAGGATCGGAACCGAACAAACAGTGGAACGACTGGCCGTGGAGCGGGGATCAAGACCCATGCCGTTGTCACGTCCGGCGAAGGCTCATCTTCTACGACTGAGGTAACGGGACTGCCCCAGTTGAACAGGGAGCAAGTTCAAGCCTTGTTGAATCTAATTAATGCGGAAACTCGTTCATCAGATCGTATGGCGGGTAAGTTCGATTGGATTATTGACACAGGGGCTTCTCATCACGTCACAGGTGATATTACGAATTTGACTGACAGAACTCGTATATGCGCACGTCTGGTAGGACTACCGGACGGCCGAATGGCTAAGGCTGTTTTGGAAGGACGAGTTTATTTTTCTGAAATTTTTTTTTTGGAGCATGTACTCTATGTACCTGGATTAAAATGTCATTTAATCTCGGTATCACAATTGATTGATCAATCTGCATGTTTTGTTACTTTCACTGATTCGTTTTGTGCTATACAGGACCGTCCCTCGAGGAGCCTGATTGGAGCCGGTGAGAGACGAGATGGGCTTTATTATTTCAGAAGGGTACCAGTGTTGCATGCTTTTCACACGTCCGACTTACCTTCGTTCGAGTTATGGCACCGACGCTTGGGTCACCCATATGATCGCGTGATTAAATTATTACCTGCTATTAGTACTAGCTCTTCTGCCAAACGTTTGAATAAGCCTTGTGAGGTGTGTCCACAAGCCAAACAAGTGCGTGATTTTTTTTCCTGCGAGTAGCAATAAAGCAAGTAGAATTTTGGAACTTATTCATTGTGATTTATGGGGTCCTTATAAAACCCCATCTACTTGTGATGCAATTTATTTTATGACATTGGTTGATGACTATTCTCGTGCTGTGTGGGTTTATCTGTTACGTGACAAGAAGGAAGTGTATCGATTTTTCCTTTCTTTTATTGCTACCGTTGAAAAGCAGTTTGAGATGCCTGTTAAAATTATACGCAGTGATAATGGCACGGAATTTAAATGTTTGTTGCCATATTTTGAGGAGCGTGGAATTTTGTTTCAGACATCTTGTGTTCATACCCCTCAACAAAATGGGCGGGTGGAACGCAAGCATCGTCATATTTTAAACGTGGCTAGAGCACTAATGTTTCAGGCAAATGTTCCTATTTCATTCTGGGGTGAGTGCGTTCTTACGGCGGTACATTTAATTAATCGCACACCCTCAGGAATACTGGACGGCAAAACTCCCTACGAGGTACTTACTGGCAGGGCACCCGATTTCCACCATCTCCGGGTGTTTGGGTGTTTAGCCTTTGCTCACAATTTAAAGACAGGGGGTGATAAATTTCTTCCTCGTAGCCGACAATGTGTCTTCATTGGATATCCAACTGGCAAGAAAGGATGGAAATTGCTTGACCGTGACACCGGAGATATTTTTGTGTCGCGTGATGTCAAATTTCATGAAGACGTGTTCCCATTTTCAGAGATTACTACGGCCCCTACTTCAGACTCGGCTCCTGCCGAACTCGTTCTGTTTGACTCAGATGATGTGGTTCCAGTCAACTCTGAAGTTCCTCCTGACACTGGCCCTACATCGGCAGAGAATACTTCTGACAGTATCACACTTGGCAGAGGGATGCGGTCTAAGCGACCGTCTGTCTTGCTTCGCGATTATGTTGCTCACTTAAGCCCATCTCCGTCCACACCCTCTGTCAGCTCTTCAGGTACGCGATATCCTATTAGTCATTACGTTTCCTGTGATAAGTACTCTACACGTCACCGCACGTTTCTTGGAGCTATTTTTGCAGGTCGGGAACCTAGGTCCTTCAAGGAGGCTATGACTGATGCTGGATGGCGCTCTGCCATGCAAAATGAGGTTCAAGCCCTTGAGAATAATCACACATGGGACTTGGTGCCTCTTCCTCATGATAAAAGGGCCCTGGGGTGCAAATGGGTTTATAAAATTAAATATAAATCTGATGGTACCGTTGAACGATTGAAGGCCCGATTGGTTGTTT